CCTTCCACTAGAAACGACGATACTATGTCGATGATATAATTGATGAAAAATTTTATGTCAGCGCTTTACTGTATAGTGATGTACTAATAATAACAGACGATTATAACAAAATACGTTCTAGTATCATAATAGATATATAAAATAATATGTATTATATTGTATGTTTTTTGATCGACCTACTTTAAGGATTACCTTAAGACATACTCAAATGTATTAATATAATAACTTATTTATAGGTGTTGGCAAAACGTGTGTAGCAGCTGAAGTGCTTAACAAGTTGGCAGCGGCTGGATATTTTATACCGATCATATTAAATTTTTCAGCTCAAACTAGTAGCACTAGGACTCAAGTAAGCTTCAGTATTTTTTACTCTTCTTCCGTATAAAAAAGGATATCATTACAACAATAAATAAAGTTAAATTTTAGTTGGGAAACTAGATAAATGAAAAAAATCACGTTTTGACTGTAACAGAATAGAATATTTAGAAATATGCTGTGTGTGTGTGTATGTGTGTTTTCTTATTTTTTTTAAAGCTTTTTTCTTAGATGCTACACTCTCAGTACCTACGCGCCGCATTGATTCGTCTATTAGTTTTATTGCATGCTTTAAAACTCATTGCAATTTTCAATGGTTGATTATAGTATGAAGTCTCGTTAGAGCATACCTTTATTAAATATTTGAAAATTAAATCAAACCTTACTATCGGGTCTGTGCTCTTTGTCTAGGATTGAATCAACTTATGTAGTGTCGCTTTTTTAAGTTTTTACAGTTTCACTCATTGATTGAAAGCTCTCAAATGTATAAATATCATATCAACTGATAAAACAGGAAGTGATTGAGCTCCGCTTAGAGAAGAGACCTAGAAAAGCAATCGGCGCTCCGCTTGGAAAGAAAATGGTTATCTTTATAGATGACGTAAATATGCCTAAGTTGGACGTCTATGGTGCTCAACCTACCATAGAGTTATTGAGGTAAGTTTAGCAATAACAAAATCGAAGGGCTTTTCCAATAAAACTGGTGTTCAGTGAAATAGTTTATAAGTCGTTCTTCTGTGTTAAACATGTAGAATAAAGATTTAAATCTAGAACTTTGATTTTTTTCTATAACTACTTAAAATGAAAGTTGATTTATTATTATATTTAACAATAGTAAGGTACCTATTATATTAGTAGGTATCAGTAGTTATGTATGTTATTTTGATGTAAATATGGTTTTAGTTATTTTAAGGCTTCATTTCAAACGAAAACAATGGTTCTGCGTGTAAAATAAAACAGATTATTTATATTATAATAATAATATATACTTCATTGTATAACTACACAACAAATTACAAATTTCTAAATAGAGAATTTGAAGTTGAGCACGTCCCAAACAATGCTTAAGCCATATTAAACGTCAATTAAACAGGTTTTCACTACTGAGTTATAATTTTTAATGATCAGTTGACAGCAATTTGATAAATAATCAGTTGAGATTTTGTGTTTTTCTCAATTCAGAATCCGGTCGTTAGTCATTTATAATAAGTGGTCCAAAAAAAGTCTCACTTCTCTAACATCAAAACTGACTGCTTCGTAATTGGGGTCGATAGATTCGTCTTTGTGAGGACTTTGGTACTGAATGTTTTCCAGACCAAGATCTGGTGATGATGGAGCTGGAAGGTGGTCATAGGAACTTAGCAATGAAATAACGCAGCTGCATCGTGTTTAGGCTCTTTACATCCGTCTTTATGAGAACAACAACATATAATGACAAATCTAAAAGTAAAAAAGAAAAACATAATAAAAAAACTAACTAAAACGTAAATAATAATTTTATGCAAATATTTTCTCTAACAGTAATTGACTTGAAAAGCTCGTAGCAATAATGAAATTGAAGACAAGAAAATACATATTTTTTTCAAGTCAATTACTGTTAGAGAAAATATTTGCTTTTTTCATCTTTTAGTGCGCCACATTATTTATGCTTAAGCTTGGTTTTAAAAAACCTTTTTTTTTTTTAAGATTAACTGAATATTTTTATATGAGTGGCGCAACACTTTCATTCTTATGTGTTTTGTCTCTCGCGGATTATTTTTATGTTTTGATTGAAAGTTAGTGATTGGGTAAACGCGCTCACTGAAGACTTGCCGTTGGATGCCTTGTCCATTCACTAATTACTTTATAGTGCTTTAAATTATGAATTAAATAAAAGTTACCTATGCCGCCACCTATCCCACCGTTAAGATCTTTATTTTTTAAATAAAATAGTCATCATGCGATATCTATTGGAGGAGGAAAACAAAACGCCCGGGCATTTTCCATCACTGGCCGGCGACATCATGACAGAAGTGGCATAATCGCGGAAAATTTTGAAAATAATACTAAATATTTTTTTAGATATATTCATATATATATAAAATATAAATATTTAAAAAGTTGTCTACGCCCATATACATAAGTTTCTGCCCGTAATAAGTTGTTAGATGATCATTTAACCTCGACTTTCTTTTACAACAGACAGTTTCTTGACTTTGGTGGCGTATACGACCGAGATAAACTATACTGGAAAGATATCTTGGATGTAATATTGTGTTGCGCATGCGCTCCGCCTGGAGGCGGAAGGAACCCGCTTACTGCACGATTCGTTAGGCACTTTGCCATGTTTTACATATCGGCACCCAACTCTGACGCGATGAAAACTATATTTAAGGTATCTACTACAATACTATTCTTTCATAACACGACTAATAATTTGGACATATTTATTATAATAGACATTATACATACAGGGTAATATCTAATGCTATGGTATTGTAACAAGAACATTTTTTTTTTTATTCTTATACGAAATATAAATAGGGTTGATAGAAATACAAATAATTTCATTTGCCACCTTTCGTGTCTCTACTAACAGTCATATTATGGGTTTACATACATATCAGAGATATAATAATATACGAAGAAGAGCTAATAAAGGTTTTTCATATTAAAACTATTTTAATTATACGAGTATTATGATTGCTTTTATTTGTGTCTGCCTGAAAAACACCACGGCAACTTGATGAATTAAATAAAATGATATTACTTATATTTTTAGGCTATACTGAAAGGTCATATGGAGGACTTTGTGCCCGAAGTGTCAGTGCTTGGCGAGCCGATAGTGAATGCGGCAGTTGATATATATTTGAAGATTTGCGCGGAACTTCTACCCACACCCGCTAAATCACATTACGTGTTCAACCTGCGAGATCTTTCTAAATCTATGCAAGGCGTTTTGCAAGCTGATGCCGCATTTATGAGGTTTCCTCAAACCATGCTCAGGTATCTTTTTGTAAAACAATTGAATGCTGTTTTGCTTGTCATAGATTTATTTTTTATTCTCATCTAACTTGACGAAAATGTGATATTAATAAGACAAATAATGAGATTTATTTTTGCAGATTGTTTTATCACGAGTGTCTTCGAGTATTCCACGACCGCTTGATCAACATAGAAGACAAGAGCTATTTCTATCATTTGATGAGTAACGTGTGTCAGAAGAATTTTAACCAACCGATATTGGACGTGCCCGACGATTCTATCATTGAACAACCTCCACTCTTGCTATTCGGAGATTTCTTGAATTCTTCCGTACCTAAAGAGAATAGAGTTTATGCAGAAATACCAGATATGCATAAATTAATGATAGTATTGAAGGTATGTCATATATGGCATCTTTTCTTCTCGAATACCCGTTTTCACTAAACTTAAAAGTCGCTCAAATCTGACACTTAAATTGTTTTTGGGCATTGTCAAAGGTGAAAATGCGTTTCACCAATAACAAGGAGCCTAACTACTTTAAGCAACGCATAAAGTTAAGATATGCTTTATGCGGCGCTTAGCGCTGGGCATTTACGTAATGTGACATATACATTTACTTTTTGGTCTTAGCGGATATGTCAAGGATAATCATTTTTTTATTAAAAAAGAAGATTAACTGACGCGTGCAAAATCATACACAAACATTACCTAACTAAGTGCTTAGTAAGGCATTATCTAACTTTACAGGTTTGGTGAAACGACAAATCTGCTTAAGCTATTCTTAATATTATGTGATAGTGAAGATATGCCTTGTTTTAGGTTAGTGAAAACGGGCATGATAGCCGAAAATAATATTAGTAATATTTATTCATCTGAATGAAACTGTGTCGAAACATGAATAAACCCGCCCATGCCAGCTTTAGCACTGTCTGTTACATTTAAGAGAGCGCATTAAGTCTTAAACCAATTACCAATATTAAATTCTAATTTATATGTAGGTATGTACATATATTTGGTGAATGAGGAAACGACTTCCGGCATAATCCGTCGAATTATGTAATTTTCTCGGTGAAAATAGACTGAAATCGAACAATATCGTTATTTCTTATTTAGGTTCACTTCTTGTCTGAGACGTAATAATTTCCAAATAAATGAACTAAAAATATTTTATTAGGGTTTCACGCAATACGTGTCACCATTGGATTTGGCTAGTCTTGCAATCTTGTCTCACATAAGGTTCTTAAGTTAGTGTAATTGCAGTTACATTGCATCACAAACAGCGTCCTGTTTTAATATGTTATTATACGGCCATTTAATGTTATTACATTAACGTCTGTTGTCTGAGTTCTGTTTCTCAGTGCCCTCTTGTGTCTTACTAGCTTTCCGCCAGCGGTTTCGCCCGAGTTATGCTTATCAAACTGTTCAGTTGGATAAAAGGTACCCCTTGTTAATCCAGGTTTTAAATTTAATTTAACATTTAATTAAAACAAAAAACATTCAAAACAAAAAAAATACTCTTTATAATATTAGTATAGATAAATATAAGACTAAATACATACAGGAATACTTGGATGAGTACAATTCTACTGCTCGCGCGGAGATGCACCTGGTGCTATTCAAGGATGCGGTTGAGCACGTGGTAAGAGTGGCACGCGTGCTAAGGGCGGAGCGCGGTCACTGTCTGATGGTCGGCCCCGGCGGCTCCGGACGGAGGAGTGTCGCAACACTAGCCGGACACGTCAACGAGTGCAAGCAAGTGACCATTTTATATATATACAAACGAGTCCCTTATTTTTTACTAGGTTTAACTTAACTTACCTGGTTAGCATGTTAGTTAGTGCACAAATCTTGGAACTCAAATTTGACCCACTTCCCAATGTCTGATAGATTTGAAATTTTGCATAGACATGTAAGTCAGATGACAATGCAATATTAAAAATGGTAAACTGATATGATGATGAAGCCGGAAAGTGATGTCACCTTAGCAATGAAATAACGCAACTGCATCGTGTTTGGGTTTTATGAGTACAACAATATATTAGACAAAGTAAAAATATAATAAAAAAAACTTTTTATTTATTTTTTGCGCGCACTTAGACATATTAAATAAATTCTAAACACTTAAAGTACTTATAATCAAAAATTTATCTAATAGTAATTGGATTGAAAAGCTTGTAGCACGTAACAATATGGTAAATCTTAATCTATTCATATTACCTCTGCTGCTGTTCTCGATGGAAATAAGAAGAGGGAACTCCGCAATGACTTGAATTAATTAGTTAAAATTAATATGTAGATGTATGGGCATGGAGTTGAAACGTAACTACGACAAGCCAGAGTTTCACGACGATCTGCGACGAATGTATATGCGCGCGGGCGTCAACTACGAGGACACAGTGTTCCTGTTCACTGATACACAGATTACTAAAGAGGAGTTTTTGGAGGATATCAATAATATGCTAAATTCAGGTTAGAAAACTTACCATAAATCTTCATCATCAGCCTATAAATATTCCTATTATTGGGCCATGACTGACCAAGAGGATCCAGTTTCTATAAGTGGGCTTTAACGATATCGTAATTTTTGGTTATAAACGGCTTATGAACGGCCTTTGCGAAACTTGCCTAACTTCCGACTGCGCTAATCATTGCCCCATCAAACTCAGAGGAGTCTTTTTATTAAGTTAAATAAGTTTGATTGTCAATTTATAGAGATAAATCTTAAGTTAAACTTATTGTAATATGACTTTCGAACCTCGACTTTTTGTAATTTTAGGCGAGGTGCCGAATCTTTTCGAAGGCGACACGTATGAGCAAGTACAGACCGGTTGTCGCACTGAAGCGGGTAAATGTGGTCTCAATCCCGCAGACCGGGATGCTGTCTACTACTTCTTTATTAACCGTGTCAGGTCCAAACTTCATCTCTGCATATGTATGAGTCCCGTTGGAGAAGCTTTCAGGTCATTACTATTAGTATAATATGCATGATAACTGACATAAATATTTTTATAATAAATACAGTTTTGTTACGACTTGTATAGTTTATGCAACATAATTACGAAAAAAAATTAAGCTTTTTTTAGTAAGGATATTTTTCAATATAACATTGTGAATGCAAAATTGATGAAAGATAATAATTAGACCAATTTTTCATTTTTATCGAAACTTAATATATTTTTAAAAATATTCCATTCAGCTGTTTGGGTGGATTGCCTGAACATTGATAAAAATACGCTCTATAGTAGCGAAAAAGTAACAAGTGCTTGAAAAATTCGTCCGTCCTGTTAGGTCAGTAGCTAGAGCAGCAGGCCTGGATTACGAAAGGTCAGTGGGTTGCCAAGGACAAAGTGGATTTTTTAAGAATTTTTCATTAATAATATTTTTCAGTATAGCATTGTAAGTACAGATCAAAACATTATCATGTTAATTTTAATAGTAATAAATAGACAGTCATGTTAATAAAATAACGCCACCATAGGACGCAACATGCATAAAGACATATTTTCTCTTCTTTTTCTCCGATATTAGTTTGTTAGGATAAAAAAACCTAAACATGATATAACTTGAATGGTAACGTGACTGTGCACTATTACAACATTTTCCTTTATACTAAGATAATTCAAAACTTTTATCATAAATACATTACAGACGTCGATGCCGCATGTTCCCGTCATTGGTGAACTGTTGTACTATAGACTGGTTCACAAAATGGCCGCCTGAAGCGCTGCTGTCGGTAGCTCAACAGTGTCTAATGCCAATGGGTAATAGCGAAATTATTGGAAAAATATCGCAGCTCTGCGTCACTATGCATGAGGTATGTTTTAATTTACATATTATTAAATAATAGGTTCAAATTCAATGATGTACATTACATGCACGAAGTAAGTCATTAATTGGGCTTTTTTGAATAATGCCCGCGTGGTAAGAAAAATGCTCAATAAGAGAGGTCAATGAGATAATAACTATACTTAGAGCAATTGAATTGCCCGGACATTATTTATTACCGTCGCTTATCGGATGGAACAATTGAAACAAAGTTTTATTTTTTCCAATAGTTATAATCAGGTCAGTTTTAGAACAAGCAGCCCTCTGTTTTATATATGTCCAATTTGAGATCATATCTATCATAGAAAGCACGGCCTACTTAAATAGTTAACAAGATATATGTTTACTTGGACTTAAATTCCTTTGTATCCTAATAACGTAATAATAAGAAGAATGAATTAATGTCGCCACGTGCAATACCTATGTATAATGTATTTTTATCAGATTGCCGGAACATCACATGGCATTATTCATAATACCTGGGCAATATGATTAATAAAGAAATTCAAGTTAAAGCTTATTATTAATGCCCAAACATCTTGTCATTTCATAATGCCCCATGTCACATCGTCCATAACATATATACTATTGATTTAAACATGGTCCATAAATAATATTGGTTGTTATTAAGAATTATAACACCGCGCCTATTTATAATTTTTATTCGTTCATATATAAAGTTTCACAATTCACATGAACCACTGATATTGCGCCTACATAATTTGAAATAAATTTAATTTGGCAGAAAAGAACAAAAGTTCTAAATCGTCAATAATTCAATACAGTTTTGAGTAACTCCATAGTATTTAGTTTGTGATTATGTTTTCTGGGCGAATAAATCATTAACTTAAAATAAATATTTTTTTTTTCTCATCACACAGAATAATGTCTTATTTGCTAGTTAGTTACAAACACAGTTATTCCAATTGAGCTTCTGGTGTGAAACTGATACCTAAGTTAGAAAAATTAGAAGATTACCTGTATTATAGGTCATCAGACCTTCTAAATAATAATAACAGATAATCGTCATTTTCGACAGAACACATGTTGTTTATATCTAAATTCAATTTTTATGTATATATTTGTAAATAATTCTTCTACAGGACGTCGATAAAATGACAGATCGACTATACCAAGAGATGCGGCGATACTTCTACACGACTCCGAGTAGCTACCTCGATTTACTAAAACTGTACCTAAACCTTCTCGATAAAAAACAACAGGAAATTATTCGTGGTAGAGATAGGATTTCATGTGGATTACAGGTTAGCATAAATAATATAGTACCTATGTAATGTTTGTTGTACCGTCTACAAAAAGGTGCAAGCTATAAAACGCAAAAGAACATATAAATTGTCAGAAATCATAGCTTATTACGCGACTTCACCCAAAAGTAAAAAAAAATTATAATTAGAACAGTATTTCCGAAAATCACCTCATACAAACCAAGACATTCACTCATTGTAACATTAGTATAAAATCTGTTTTACAACAGTGTCCTACAGAGGCTGATAAATATATGCATTTTATGCTATTTTACTATGCGAATTAACTTTATCAGTTTTGTTACATTTTAGAAATTATACGAAACATATGAAGTGGTAGGAGTGATGGAGCAACAGGTGCGAGATATGGAACCAATATTAGCCCGCAAAGCGGATGAAGGTATTGCACTTGTTAATCGGCTCAAAATTGAACAAGCTGCCGCCGACGAAGTGAAGCAGGCGGTTATGAAAGACGAAGCGGCTGCTAAGGTAAATTTAAGACGTGTTTTTTTATTAATAATACCGAGATCGAAGAGAAAAAAGCAGCCCTGGCTGAGTTTATTGGTGGTTTTTCTCAGTACAAGGTCCCCCACCGTAGATTTGCGAACTGATGGCGTAGTTTTTGAGATTCGCAAGTGTTTGTAACAGCCTAGATATGGATTATATTGAATTTGAGTACAAATACCAGAAAAATCTGCTAGGTGTTCTTGCTACCCTAGCAAGGTTACTCCGCAATGGGTTTCATCAGGGTGCTAACCACGTTTTGACTTTTCTTTTTGATCCAATTGTTGAATAGCCCTGTTTATGGTACTAGGTGCATTTTCTTTGCGACTACAAAAATAAGATGTCTCGCTAACTTATCTCTGAAAAATAAACCTAAAAGGTAGGTAGTAAGATGAAATATTTGATTTGACCCTTGAATAATGAATAACAGATAAAAGCAGAGGAAGTGAAGGAGATTGCGGATGAGGCCAAAGCCGACCTTGCGATGGCAATGCCAGCGATGGAGGCCGCACAGAATGCCCTCAAGGCCCTTAACAAGGCCGACATCAATGAATTAAAGGCCTTCCAGAAACCACCAGCTCTGGTGCGGTTTGTTATGGAACCAGTTTGCATACTACTCGGAGCGAAGTGAGTAAAATAATGTTTTATATTTAGCATATTTTAAACCACATACGATATCTCACTCAATAAAAAGCTTTTCTTGAGTTTGTCATGCATGTGAATAGGGGTGTAGACAACCTTTTTATATTTTTATTGTATATAAATTTAATATAGAGATATACATTTAATATATCTAAAAAAAATTAAAAAAATATATAATAAGTTCCTCCTTATAATCTAAAAATAAATTTATCAAAATTTTCCGCGAATACGCCGCAGTACTCTGAAACGAATATCATTCTATCTATGCATCAGGTTGAATTGAGTAAGAAAGTCGTTGGCTGTCATGTGACAACTGGGTTAAAATATTTGTTTTTTCGTAATTAGTTTAAGCAATATAATAAGCATGAAAGTGTTATTATATTAAACGCTACCAGAAAGAAGGTATAGTATGTAGGTATTTATTTTAGTTTACTATCTAGACCCGTATGTACGATGAAAAATATTTTATCAATAACGTAATAGAGCATATGTTTGTATACAGGCATACAGTATTGATTCAGACTTGAATATATGTCCTTGAATAGAAAGGAGACAAACGGTATAATATATTTTTTTTTTACTTACGAGCTAAATTTATTATAATTTAGTCTTCAAGTTTATTGATAGGGTTGGTGTGAGAACACTTTTGTACTTGTGGCTTTCCAACTGTTTATTAGGCTTTGGCGTCACTGGTTTAGATATTTGTCTAATACAAATTTTTAATATCTATGTCTCGATAATTCATTGAAAAATTTTGTTTATAGGTATTATACTACCTCACGGTACGCGAAAATTTAATTACTCCTTTACTTTTATGAGAGTAACATGATTTCACGATGTACATTTTATTGCAAACCTAGTATCGCAGGCCCCAAACCTAGTATCTACATATTAATAAATTTAACCTGTTTTAATTCTTAGACCAGACTGGGATTCTACAAAGAAACTATTAGCCGATGTGAATTTTATACGCAATTTAGAGGAGTATGACAAAGATCATATTCCTGATGCAACACTCAAAAAAATTAAGGTATATCTTACTCACAAGGACTTCAACCCGGATACTGTTGTCAAAGTATCAAAGGTAAGAAAGTATACTTATTAGTTTCAAACACGTGAGCAACTAATGTATTACTACACTTTGTTTATGGTTTTTTATGTAATTGACTGATCCACTGCAACTAGATTAGTTGGTGAAAAATTTTTGAAATTGGTCCAATAGTTTCGGTGTCTACTTAATGCAAACAAATAAACAATTCTTATCTATTTACTATACTAATATAGATACGTAGTTCAATACAAAAGTAACAATTTATTGTCATAATATTGTAAAGCCAATTTCAAAATGAAAAATCATGTCCAATTTTGACTTAAATATTTACTAACTAAATAGTACTATGATAACTACCCGAATGCGATTTGGACCCAATGTCGGTTTGCTACCTTCCATTTCATCTACTACGGAAAAAATATTCTTTCGTCATAAGGTAAAAAAATGCATATTAATAATTACATTTTAATTTATTTTTATACTTATGAGTCAAACTAGAAAAAGTTCACAATTATTTCGAGTTTTGACAGCTGTCATAACCTCAAAACATTATTTACAAATTACGAATCTCCCTGACCTCCAAATGAAAAAATGTTAAAATATTATTCTATTTTAAGCAAAAATAATTTAAATTAACACTAAGGTAGGTAAACGCGACCTTCAAAAAAAACATATGACAGGTCAATCAATGCATGGAAAGTGGACATGATTCTTTGGAGAAGTAATAATGACCACAACATATTCTCTAAATTTTGTTTAGGTGTGTAGGTCTATGGTTCTCTGGGTACAAGCTATTGATATGTATGCGAAGGTCTTCAGAGTAGTAGAGCCTAAAATCCTCGCGTAAGTACATTTCTTCTTAAACATTTCGTATTAAAAACATCGTTGCAATAGAATTATAAATGTAAAATAGATTAAAGCATGTACACACATTAAATTTTCTAAAACATATTGCACACAGGCATAAAGAAGCAGCGGCTATATTAAAAAGTGTAATGGCTGTGCTAAGGGCGAAGCAAAAAGAAGTAGAAGCAATAGAGGCTCAGCTTGCTAAAATGTTGGATGAATTAAGGGTATGTATTCAAACGATTTACTACACCAAAGTATTTTTATTTTCATTTTAATCTGTAAAAGTTCTTATTAATGTAATAATTAATTAATGTAATAATTCTTCATAATAGTCCCTAAACATATTAATAACATGTTTTAAAAACTTAAATACTGGTTACAGCGTTCGAGCGTACGTCAGTCACGCTTCTTAATTATTTGAAAAAAAAAATACATTTTCAAGATACTTAACAAACTCCTTAGGTAGAAATACAGATAACCTCCAATAGATACCGCACGATGACTATTTTGTCAAAAAACAAAAATGCCAATCTTAGCGGTGGTGTAGATTGCGGGCGAGGTAACTACGACAACATTATTGGGTAGTACAAAGACACGTACTCCGTGGTGATGGGAACCATAATGTGTTAAACGCATGTCGATAATTGATCAATATTAAAGGTTACTATTAAATGTTGTTAAAAATATATTTTATTCACCGGTTCACACAATCACTAACTTTCAATCAGTCGGTGAGAATAACTTTCAAGAATCAATTTTGTACCAAGAAATACGTTGAAATATAAGTTATAATTAAAAATGGGAGAACGGCATCATATTTAATTATTCAAAATCACAACCAAAACGTGAATTTATAACACCGATAGAAAAAAAACATCATTTTTAGATTGCGTATAACACCAGTAAATGAAAGTGAAAGAACGTATAAAAAATATTAAGTTAAATCTTAAAAAAAAAAAAGGTTTCTAATAACAAGCTTTTATTTGTACGCACTAAAATATAAATAATAATTTTATGTAAATATTTTCTCTAATAGTAATTGACTTCAGAGCTTTTAAAGTCAATTACTATTAGAGAAAATATTTACATAAAATTATTATTGACGTTTTAACTTGTTCGTCTTTTTATTATTTTTTTAGTTTTGTCAATATATGTTGTTGTTCTCAAAAAGACGGATCTAAAGAGCCCAAACACGATGCAGTTGCATTATTTAATTCCATAGTTTCTATGACCACCTTCCAACTACATCACCACCAGACCTTGGTCTGGAAAGCATCCAGTACCAAAATCCTTACAAAGACGGAACTAAAGGGCCCAACTACGATGCAGTTGCGTGATATCCACCTTCCGACTTCATCATTATATCAGCTTAATGATACCATAATATTTCATTGTCATCTTGTGACGGTTTCGATGCTTAGGCAAATTAATAAAAGACAGACTAAGCTTGAAAACTTGATTTATTAAAAGGTAACAAAAAAAACTGTAACAAACAAAAAATAAATATAAAAACAGTTCGTATGGTTACTGAAATATATAAAAATAGTTAAATAGAACAATTACTTACCCCGTTTCTGGGTTTTCCGTAATAGGTAGAACTAAGTAGATATTTCACGAAGATATACGTTTACATATTTGTTATTTGAATAATAATAATTTATTTTAATTTTAATAATAAAGCATATTGGATTACTCAAAATTCCAAATTATGAAAGGTGAATAATAAAAATAACTGATGTTAAACACCGAAGACAAAAAGTTTCCATGCGGAAACCAAGGATGAAATAAATGGTCGGTACCACCGACGCAGCGTTACAATCTGACTTACATATCTATACAAACTTTCAAATATATCGGACATTGGGAAGTGGGTCAAATTTGAGTTCAGTGATTTGCGCACTCATTAACTAACATACGTACTTACAAGGCAAGTTAAATAAAAGCTTTTAAAAAGGGGTTAATTTTGGCTACAAATTCAAAAGTTGTAAACTTTGGTCTTTCAAACAATGAACAAGTATGAAAAAGAGGATGAAAATTATTAATGGAAAATTAAAATACATTTGTTCTGAAATATCTTAAACCAATATACATATACTACCATTATATATTTGTCTATATACGTAATCATCATCATCAGCCCTTTTTACGTCCCCACTGCAGGGGCTCAGGCCTTCCTTATGGATGGTTAAGGATGAGGGTATTAACCACTGCAAATGCAGTCGGGACCAACGGCTTAACGTGCCTTCTGAAGCACAGAGTAGCTAGAGACAGCGACGCGTGCTGCCTTTTATAAATTTACCTATATTTTTCGCAACTGAGTTTTTGCAGTTGACTACGAAACCGTTAGATGCTATTATAGCTATTGACTTAGGCAATTTTACTTTCATGCTAGAAATTATATTTCCTGCACAAAATATAGCAATATTAACCTGCTTCAGGTGGTGGAAGAAGAGCGTATAAAGTTACAAGCTGATGTAGATTTGGCAGCGGCACGGTTGTCTCGAGCTGGCAAACTGACTCAAGCTCTAGCTGACGAAAAAACTCGTTGGGAAGAAAGCGTTAAGGTACCTAACTTTATACGCTATATAAACTACTGTCTTCTTAAAATGTTTTAAAATTTTACAATATTGATATGGAAATGGAAAGAATCACATAGGAAGTATACGTTTTATATTTTTTTTTTCTTTAACCTTGGTTCCCATTCATAGTTGCTCACATTATGAATTCATCTCGTTGTACAAAATCATCATGGCACCAATGGCACTGCCTGAATTGAGATGACTGTAGTCTCAAAACAATACCTATTAATCAAATCACGTTAATTAGTAAATTATTAGAACTTCGTTCATCTCCCTTTTTTGACCCTGGTTTAACTAACCTAATGCCCTAAAAAGAATTTCTCCTAAAATGTGATGAATACTGTTTACTTGTCTGGTACCAATGGTAAAGATCCTAATGGTCTTAATATTTCCCTGAATACATACTTTCTTTATCCAGGCAGCAACACATAAGCTGTACTGCACTACTGGCGACATCATAGTGGCTTCAGGTTGCATCGCGTACTTCGGTGCCTTCCCATCGCACTATCGCCGCGAATTAGAACACAAGTGGATCGAGGAATGCAATGGTCTTGAAATTCCGTCATCCGATTCTTTTGAGTAAGTCGTTATTATTTAAAAATTGTGTTTTATTTATAAAAGGGCTAAATATATTTTGCTATATTTTGCTGTTGCTTTAGAATAAAGTCTATGTAAATATTTTTCAACATTAGTTCGTTTTCGTCTTGAAAATAATTATTAAAAAGTGCAAAAAAAAAGCGGTGACTTCAAAATAATAATGCGCCATGCTACTTGTCAGAGCGTGTACGTGTGACAAAAATATACACATATAGGGATGTCGCTGTTACAAAAAATTATAAAATTAACGTATCATGTCGCAAAATAAACAACAGATTACAATTTGAATGATGTTATAAGCTTTTATTTTGATTTCACCAATTTTATAATCTGTATAATTATTAAAAAACCCAAATCGATTAACAACTAATAGATTTTTTAAAATTAAATATAGACTTAAGAATACTAATCACTCAAAATGCATATTGATTTAAAATGTCATATCTCTAATCACGTTCTTTGACGTCATGACGAGCGCGCTAATAAATCGATGTTTAAACTGCTCGTAGTTGTTATTTATTGTCATCATTTTATTATTGCTACTAAATTTTCGTTTTTCGGTGCCGGGTATTTTTTAGTAACTATATAACGATGTAAATTACACATTTTCAAAAATGTGCATATTCCGTATTGGAGGATATACTAATATTATTATTCTCCTCTTGAGATTTCTCAGCTTGAAGCTGGTTCGTTTTCCGTAATAACTGGCACTGGCAAAGTTATTATAATAACAAATTTCACTTTATTTTTAACGTAATAATATATAATTTTTGCGATTACACAAAGCAAAATTAAATATTTTCTGATTTTTTTTCTGAGACGTACACGCCTTGTAAATGTTTGCTACTCCGATGACGTCACACACTTGTAAAAATGGCTGTCTGTTGACGATTATCGTTTAATGAGGTTAGTTTATTTACCTGCGTGTGACGTCATACGCGGCGTAATGGCGGCGTATGACAGAAACAGCGTATTTTGCGCGGTTTTGGAATTTTAAAGTTAACTTTGATTTTTGTTGTTAAATACATTAACTTTCTCCGAAATATTTGTAATGTGCTTATTATATAAGCAAATTTTAAAAAGATTTTTTTAAATTAGTCAAATATCCTTTCAAAATTAGCTTTTTTATTAATTTACATACTGTAAAAGTTTTTGTTTGCTTTGCACTGATGCGTTTAGGTTAAGTTTAATTGAAATGATATAATACGAGGGTCAAACTGAAAGTTCTTAGAACTGGCCACTTATAAACAATATAATAAAAAAATAATTCTAAAATTTGAAAATATAACTCTTTGCCAATATTACTGAGTATATATTTCATTCATTTGTCATTTGTTTTACGATTTGGCGGCAAATTGAAAATTGTCTGTGTCACGTCATCATGAATTTAACACGAGAAAATTTTCGTGCAATGATTTTTTATGACTTTCGATGTCATTTAAGTCAGCAAGAAAGTTATGATAGACTACGATTGGCCTTTCACGATGAAGCCCCATCTCGTGCGACTGTTTACAACTGGTTTAATGAGTTTAAACGTGGTCGCACTAATCTCACTGATGATTTACGTGAGGGACGGCCTTCTACGGCGACGACTGAAGATAACATCTGTGTTGTGCGGCGTATGATAGAGACTGACAAAAGAGTGACCTATCAACAGATTCGGACAAGCTTAGGCATCGGTATGAGTCAAGTGCACAAAATCCTCCACGAACATTTAGCGGTCAGGAAGCTTTGCGCCCGGTGGATACCTCATAATTTGACTGAGGCTCAAAAACTCCATCGTGTGGATTGGTGTCGTAAAATGATTGAAAGATTTAACGGAGGTGACTCAAATGCTGTGTTCGACATACTAACAGGTGACGAAAGCTGGATTTACTGTTATGATCCTAAAACCAAAAGACAATCTGCTCAGTGGGTGTTTCCTTTCGAGGAGTTGCCAACTAAAGTGAAGAGAGATCGAAGTGCGGGAAAAAAAATGGTGGCCTCGTTCTTTGGAAGGATAGGTCATTTTGCAACAATTGTGTTAGAGGATCAAAAAACAGTTTCTGCAGAATGGTACACTACCAATTGTTTGCCACTTGTCTTGGAAAAAGTTCGAGAGAAACGACCTCGCAGTAGGATCCTCCTTCACCACGACAACGCCTCGTCGCACACCGCCAAGCGAACGATCGACTATTTGGCGACATCAAACGTTGAATTACCGGGTCACCCGCCGTATAGCCCCGACCTCGCGCCTTGTGATTTTTATTTATTTCCAAAAATTAAAGAAAAACTTAAAGGAAAGCGGTTTATGAATGCTGAAGAAGCGGTGGCTGCGTATCGCGATGCCATTGAAGAGACCCCTAAGGACGAGTGGGCAAAGTGCTTTTCCCAGTGGTTCCATCGCATGCAGCGGTGTATTGACGTGAATGGACAATATTTTGAAAAGATATAATAAAACTAATAACTGGCTAATGTAATCAGTTTTTGATTTTCTAAGAACTTTCAGTTTGACCCTCGTAGTAGTCTCTATGTTAGTTTTCGAATTTGATTAGTGGTTGGGACAATGTAAAAATTAACTTGTTTTCTGATGCAATTCCGATTGGTTTATTGCCATTTATTAATCGACATTGTATTGTTTATTCCAGCTTGATAACAATAATGGCGGATTCGTATACTGTTCGTATGTGGAATTCGCAAGGTTTACCACGAGATGCCGTGTCCACAGAGAATGGTATTCTCGTGACGCGCGCCGGTCGGTGGCCACTTACCATCGATCCTCAAGAACAGGTCAGTGCATATCGCTCACTGAATAGTACAATGGCACAACTCAAAAACCATTATTTCGAGAAAACGCCACAACATTGTGGTGGCATCCCATATATAATTTAAAGAAAAAATAAAAAACTTAACAGTAATAATATAATACAAACGATTTAACTGTTATGTTATAAAAAATAGATTTTCATAATTATAAATATATTAAATTTTCATAACTTCGGAGAACCTTTCTCGAAATATGGTTTTTGAGTTGTGCCACTGTACCATTCAATGAGCGATATATTCAGGTTAAAAACTTATTATTAATCACTGAATCCAATTTGCTAAATTAAAATGGTTGTGATCCTCTCCATAACGTAAGACATTTTTTCGTTTTTATTAATACTATAATGGAAACAACAACGTTTAATACCATCAAGTAACAATATAATATAGTATATAACTTTCTAGTAACAAGAAATTATCTAGATGACATTATAATGACCGGAACAGTAAAGTTACGAGTTCTTTATGTATTTGATATGGAAACTTTTTGTGACTGCTTCGCTTTTTATTGTCTCTCGAACTTCAGTTCTTGATCTTAATGAACCTTGATCTCGATATTATAATATTACTTGAGACTTTGCCCGTGTTTACAAAAGATAATCAGTAAAAGTTATTATACATTTATCCCCGGTAAATAGCAGGCCCGAATCCAAGACTTTTTTAACTAGGGCAGAAACTTCGTATGTCGCCCTTCCTCTCCCCCCCCCCACGCGAGATGAATAGCTTGCATAAAACTATTTCACAAGTGAAGAACATAGACAAACATGAGTTGTCATATTTATTATTTTAATACCTACATAATAAAAATACCATCTTACTTAAACACCGGAAAGTATATGTACCAAGGTAAAGAGCTGATTAAAAGATATACAATTACACTAAATTAACAATGCTCAATTTATGCATAAAATTTTAAAGTTTTATTTTACACAAACTTTCAGTAAATTCAGTCAGCTGGCATTTCTGAAATACTCATGTATTTCAATTCAATTAATTTAGTACATAACCTGAATATTTGAAATAATATCCTGTATAGGATTTTCTGTCTACAGTATCCGAGGCCCAATCAGCATCTACAAAGCCAACATCTGAATTATCTTTAACACACATTTAACCATAAGATTTAGTAGAGCTTAAGTACATTAAAACTCTCTTAACATGTTTCCAATGTGTCTCATTATTACAATTATTAAATTATCTTAAATAGCTGATACAATATGATATATCTGATCTTGTTAGAACTGAGAGATACATTAGGCTTCCTATCAGTTGTTGATAAGGATATTTACTAATTTAATTTTCACTTTTATTAAGTTTCAGATAAACCTCTATAGGAGTTTCAACATTTTTTACCAATTTTCTAAATATAATTTGTACAATAATTTTGTGTAATGACTAATACAAATTCTATTTTTTTTTTTTATTGAATCATCCATACCTAGACATTATTTTAACTGACTTAGGTCTTTCAATTTAAACCAGTTATGTTATTGATTTTTTTTTATTTACCTCTTCATTACTATTTAGAAAAAATAAAAAATCATCGAAAAAATATTTAAATTTTTAGACAATTTTATAAACAAACATGGGCTGAATATGTATATCCTTATTCTTGTAAACAATCATCTATCTTTTTATACCATGATCTGGCTGATTGCTTTAATTGACCTTTTTCACTTCAACACTTTACATACATTACTTTTAAATTCCATATTCTTAGGGAATTGTATACATATATATAGTTTTATTAAGCTTTCCATTTAGAAAGGCTGTTATAACATCTAAATGGGTAATATTTAAATCAAAAGTTACACTAATAGCAAATAACAATTTAAAGTAGAATATTTAAGAACTGGAGAAAAAAAATCTGTATAGTCTATTCCTTCTTTTTGGGTGAAACCCTTTGCCACCAATCTAGCCCTATATTTGACTGTGACTGACAATACAACCATTACTTAGTCTGTCCACTAGATCCCATGAATCTTTGTCATGGAATGACAGCAATTCTTCCTCCATTGCTACGCACCACTGTTCCATTTCTATGCTACTCATGACATCTTCATAAGTAAGATTTTCTTCATATATATCCCCATTTCAACAGTGGTTTTAAAAATACCATCATCATCAGCCCTTTGACGTCCCTACTGCAGGGGTTCAGGCCTCCCTTATGGATGGTTAAGGAGGATGGGCCATGACCCTCTACGCTGGCCCAATGCGGATTGGAAGATATTAACGACAGCAAATGTAGCCGGGACCAACGGCTTAAAGTTGCCTTCCGTAGCACGGAGTAGCTCGAGATAATATTTTTTTTGGTCACCCATCCCGTGACCGAAAACTTGCCTAACGACAATGATCGCGGGCCGCGGCACTTATCCACTACGCCACCGAGCGCTGTTGGTCACATACATATTATTATGCCCATACCTTAATGGTGGTTTAATCACACGCTTTCCTGTACTTCGTTCCAGAGGTCTTCATTTTTTTATATTTTGATCTGTCACACTGTCACAAAACTCTTCACTACTAGATGGGTTTGTTGATAAATCCAAACATTCCTCACTACTAGGTAGATATGTGTCACCAAGCTTGATTTGTTTCTCATCACAAGGAACTAATTTTTCTGCGTCTTTCTCCTCTATCATGTCTGCTGAAAAGCTTGATTTGAAGAATGTATTTTTCTGACTTTTTGTCCCATTTTGTCCCTTTTATTTCAAGGACATGGGCCAACACAATACTACCGAAGACACGGACATTGCTAAGGTCTGGCTTTCTGCCTGTCCAGAGCTCATACGGCGTCTTTTGTAATCCTGAAGCTAATGCTAATGTGCTCTGTTTCACTCAACAGGCTTCCAAATCTATACGTTTAACAATCAATATTCATATTCTCTTCGTTCGAAGTTTAAAACGATAAAAACATTATCACTTTTAGTATAGAGGGATTTGCACCATAATAGAATATCCATTATGGTTTTTTTTTTCACGGTATCATATATGTATGTCTTAGGCACCATGTTAATATTTTTGTGTATTGTTAGGCAAATAGGTGGATTAAGAACATGGAACGTGACAACGGACTAATGATAACAAAACTAAACGACCCTAGCTACATTCGTATTTTGGAGAACTGCATCCGGCTGGGATGGCCCATGTTGATCGAGGACCTGGGCGAGACGCTAGAAGCAACCCTTGCTCCTGTTTTACTGAAGCAAACATTCTTACAGGTACATTATTTTAATATTCTCGTCCTTATAAAATCAAATTAATATCCTGTGTAAACCTTGGAACATAATACAAAACCTTCAACTTAGAAGAAACCTTAGAAGAAAAATTATTATACAAAAATTTAAAAATAAAAATTGTTATTGTTACAATTTTTCTTCTACATTTTTGTCCTAATAAATATTTAATTTACGGCCAGTTGCACAAACATCCGTTAAGGTTTAATAACGACTTTAAGCTCTAATGAATGTCAAATTTGTATGGGTAATGTCGCTTTAAATTAATGACAATTTTAATGGACGATTGTGCAATTGCTGATAAACTCTCAAAATTTAATTAATTTAATGTAATGCTTTGTATATGTTATTATCAAAATTAACTTCTTATGACTTGACCACGACCCAACCTCTGGCGCCAAAGTCAGACCCGCCCTTGCTTCCCGTAGGTGAAAGAATTTTGAAAATAGGTCTAGTAGTTTCGGAGGCTATTCGATGCAAACAAACAAACAATCAAATCTTTCCTCTTTATAATATTAGTATGGATGAACTATAATCTTATATTCATTAGTCCATATTACTGCAAGTTTCTGTCGCCAGATTGCAGCACTAACACAAATAGTTTTATAAACGTTATTCAGAGAGTAGTGAGCGAGAGTAAAGTAATGAACATAGTAGGCTTTTAATATATTTTAAATGTATGATTACAAATAGTGTGATTTTGATCCAATAAATATATCATTGCTGAAGATTTGGATGTATGAAAGAAGGGAATCATCAATTTTCCATTATTACAAAATAATCGATAAAGTTTTTTTTATTAACAATGCGAAATACATATTATTTTGTTCTTAGCCGATTATTTCTTATAGTAAGGATTACTTTTTCAGGCTGGTCGTCTTCTCATTCATCTCGGCGACAGCGATATCGAATACGACACAAATTTCCGCCTGTACCTAACTACTAAGCTGGCCAATCCCCACTATTTGCCTGAAATCTGCATCCAAGTCACATTGGTCAACTTTACCGTCACTCTATCCGGTCTGGAGGATCAACTGCTAGCGTTAGTTTTTATTGTATAATCATTATATAACATGTCGTATTATAATAGTTAAATTTTTTATCAATTGTAATATTTTACAACTCTGTTTCGGAGTAGTATCTTTAACTTCACGTTTTTGTTATGCAACTAGCAAACAAATTTTGTTTAAATTTTTTATCAATTTAAATATCAGGCATTAGGAAAACTTTCCATTTCATTCATTCATTTATTACTTATAAAGTAATAAATAATTATAAAGTAATTGGTGCCAAATGGCAGGACCGTACCCATTTAAAGCCCTGGGCATGCCTTCGATTGGGAGGACCACCCGGCAACCCGGAGGTTTCTTATAGAGGTCATTTATGCATTTATGCGTGATGCCACCTAGTAATTATTAGTATATTCGCTACGCATTTCATGGAAAATCCGATTTGACATTAGGTTTTACGTAAATGAAAGAACCCATGAAAGTACAAAGAAAGTACCCAGTGAATTCCATTTCGACAACTACGTTTTCATTTTTCCTTCATTCAGTCTAATTGTGTTTATACTTTGATTTATTTAGAACGGAATTTCATACCCTGCAAAAATTATTTCAAATGGTAATAAAGGGTTTTATTTCATTGAAGTTCTATACTGTGACAGCGCTGCGTTCCACGTCTAGTTTGAGACTGAATTTTTACAGAATAGCATTGTTGTAATAATTGTGGTTTATTAAGTATAAAGGGTTATTTGTAAAATACTAGACAAACTCGCAGGACTATTAGCCCAGATCTCAAACACAAACGATAGTTCAACTAGTTTTATGGGTCATTTTAATTTCACTCTAAAATATATTTTTAACATTAATTAAAATTTACTTCAAAACGTAAATACATATTTCACAGAGAGCGCGAGCGCAGCTTTGTCCTTTCATTTATGAATAAAATATGACATGTGTATGTCAAATATAAATATAATTGATTATATATAGTGTATGATATTATGATTGCCAGTGTTTAACAAATAACCCAGTATAATTAATGGTATCAAAATATATTTATATAGTCGTCCTAAAAACGACGTGCTTGATTCATGTATGCTTAAATATGTCACACTATTATATAATACCAATTTAAAGCTTATGAATGTACTTATGCACTGTGATATTATATCTAATAAAATTACATGACGATTAGTACTACGTATTATTTTCTCACCAATATTTTATTTATTCAGTATTTATTTGTAGCAAGCATATAATAAGAAAAAATGAAGCTCGAATCAATAGTACACGTAACTTTAAAAGCACAGTAGGTATCACTTTCCCCACACCCCACTAATACGGCACAAGCCTCAACTATTGTGTATAATTACATTTAGTTACAGGTATGGTATAAATGAAAATTTACCCTCATCTGTTATTTGATTGTTGCAAAGTTTGTATATTAGATAACGTGTAAATTATTAAAATACACATGGGTTGCATAGCTTAATCAGGAGCTATCACTTTAACCACCGTAACTAAGATATATATTAATCCGGAAATATTTACGGCAGCGATGTGGTACGTTTGGAGCGGCCGGACCTAGAGATTCTTCGTACGGAATTGATAATGCGCATCAACGCTGACAAAGCGACTCTGTTGGAGATAGAGGATAAGATTCTGCGCCTCCTTTACGCGTCCTCTGGGAATATCTTGGACGATGAGGAGCTCATTGAAACCCTTAATGAGAGTAAGGTGTGTTAGTTCATTCAAACTTAATACATTCTTTAGGGTCCGTATTTCAATTAGGGTAAGATATAAAACTTCGCAAGACTAGATATAGCTTACATCATGAATAATAATACTTGTTTTAGGAATTTTGATAATTTGTTACATTTTATTTTAAATAAAAAAATATATATTCTATATTTCACCTATAGACCGAACGGTCGCTTTGTACAAGAGGGATTATCTGACGCTATAGTGGATGGATGGCGATAAACAAGCAGTGGTTTTTTTTTTTTAAATAATTCATGACAATACAAATCGTTTATTATATACAAAATTTATCAAAATAAAATAATACATTTAACCACACCAATATCACTGAAACTTATTTCTCCACATTCTTGGTGCCATTATCAGAATCACCATTCAGATTAATAATAAAATCAACAAAAATAAAATCAAAGAAGATGTTGTTAAAAATCGTAAATTAAATGTTGTTTGTTTATTTTTTGTGTGGTATCTAGTCTTGCATGTTTACTAGTATTTTACGATTAACCCTGTATAAATAACCGTGACTGTTTAATTACACGATATTTAGATATTAACAATGGCAGTTTCCTGTCAATAACACTGCATAAGTAAAGGTTCTTTTATGTAGGTATAATCAACAGCACGCCCAGTCACGCAAAACAGCAATCTCCAATCAGTGGCGTAACTATACCGTTTGAGGCCCGTGGCAATTTCATCGGATATTCTTTTTTTTTCTACTCATTGCGTCAGGAGTAAGTAGAGTCCTCTGACCGGGGGCCCCTTACAACTGAGGCCCGTGGAAATTGCCGACTTGCCACCCTGTAGTTACGCCACTGTCTCCAATCTATTTTGAAACTTAAATTGTTGGAAATCAAGTCAACAATATCTTGCAGAAATTTGACTATTTTATAAAGTTGTATTATTTTACAAAGATGATACCGATTTGAATAAAATTGATTGAGTTCTCTGTGTATTGTTATTATATTTTAAAGATACTACAAGGGATACTACAATAACCTAATTTTCTGCAATCAATTTTGAATTTAACTACCAACAATCTATTGGAATAATGCCTTTATGGTTACATAGATCGAGAGAGCTCGCATGCGGGGAGAGAGTGATATCTATAGGTTACCTCCTACTGGGTTCACATTTTATCGATTAATAAACAAATTAGAGTCTATAACCGACCAATGAAAATGCTACACAGAAACGCCCGGTCTCTACACGCGGGGCCTATCGACCAATGCAAATGAGCCATGAAGGATGGTAGATATTTTGGCAGTTAAATTTTTTTAAATATCGGAAATAGGAAACGTCTGAAATTATCAACGCTCGATTGGAGGAGACTGAAGCTACTGAAATCAGTATATCTGCTGCTCGTGAGAAGTACAGAACCGTGGCGACCAGGGGTGCTGTGCTGTATTTCGCAGTGGCTCAACTGGCTGATATAGATCCAATGTACCAGTTTTCATTAAAATATTTTAACCAGGTCAGTAGAATGTTACTTTTAAACATCTTATTAAAGAATATATATTAAACTTATATACATATTAGCTGTTTTCCCGCGCCTTCATCCACGTAAACTATAGTCCATATCATCCGATTATGATGTAGCTTCCCGTAGGCGAATTTTTTTCATAATCAGATCAGTATTTACACAGAATACCTCGTTACACAAAACAAACAGTTAGAAACTGTATTTCTTTAGAATGTTAGTGTAGATTGCGCGGTTGTATAAAAACTGCGCATTCATGACCTTGGTTGTTTCATGTTACAAAAGCTTTAGGGTAATAGTTGTAAACAATGAATATAATGTATAATAATAATTTCTTGAACAATTCAGTATACAAATAATTAACGTAGTTACAATAGTTTATAGTATGTGCATATCAAATTTGAAGATTTAAGGCAAAGCTGCCTGCTTCTTCCAGTTACATTGAGAAACACAAATTTGGAGCTTTACATTATAACATTAGTTCAAAAAGAAAGGGATATGGAAGAGCTTACAATAACAGTTAGTGTCGCGTGTGAGAAAACCAATTATGCACGCAGAATTTCTTGTTTCGCTGAAATTTAATTTTAGCAGCCAGTTTTTAATTAAATCCTCACATTTGCTGAGAGGTTAGTCACTCTATTAGCGGCATTATATAGATGTGAACTCATAACGTAGTATTGACGTTTCTCAAGAGCTGTTTTATGGGGAATTATTTCGCAATCTCCAAATTATCTGCGCTTGGAGGATTGTAAGGCAGTACGTTCTCCCAGCCATCTCATTACTTCGCTGGAAGCACTTTCTGTCCAATACTTTAACTATTCCCTGTCCTTCCCAAAAACAACCAATGCCGTGTCATCCGCGTAAGCTATAATATTACAATTAAATAGCGATAAGCAGCACAGACTATTAATGTGTATAAGGAAAAGCGTTAGTTGCAAAACATTACCCTGGGGAGGAACCCCACAAGAAAGCTCCGCGTTTTTCGCCTATCTTAACAGATAGCTACCCAACATATCAAGAGCAACTCCCCTAATACCTATCAGGTACATTTTGTGTAACAATAAGGGGATAGAGACCCCAAATGCCTTCGAAATATCAAGGAATACACCTACAACCTTAAGTTAAATGTCAAACTGTTTAACTAGTTTCAGTTATTTTGGACTTACTTTTTATATTAAATGTTCTTAGTCTTACTAATACTCGAGAAAATGAAATATAAATCTGTATCCAAAAAGATAGGACCCGTCACAAAAAAAATGTTTCTAACGCATTTCCATTTTTTATTTTAATGATTTTGTCATACATTTATATTTATAGGACGTCTGACATAACAATCATCAAATGTGAATAATAGGTATTTTTTACCAAAAAATACTTAACTCCTGGGGCCATTAAGGCTCCCGGCACGAAAGTAAACTGCGCAGAAACTTATAATTAGGAATCACAGGAGGTGTAGTATGTGGGGGCGGGGGGAGGTTAACCATAGCAACGGAGCGTAGGTGATCCGTCGTATTGGATACAGAATAAAATCAATTCATTTATAGTAATCAGCGAACCCTTAATTTGATGCCCACATCATCAAAGAATTTAAAGATATCTACATCGTTTCGGGTAGTCCGCCATATTGAATTTAAGTAGGATGAATCCATTTTATTATTATATTTGATAAATTTTCTACTACTTACATAATATATAAATATAATATAGTTTATACTACATATAAACTTATAGAGAAATTTAAGAAAAAATCACCGATTGCAGGTGCCCGAGATGAGATCACATTATTTTAATACCTACAGCAAGGCAGTGCATAACTTAGCTTAAGTTGTCATCTAAACTCTTACGCTTGTTTGCAGAATTTCAGCGCAATCAGCTGAAGGTAACGACTATAAAATTTAGTTGCAAGATTTGGCGAATACACTTCAAATTAAATAAGTTTGCAAAAAACGGAAAAGACACCTTACTACTAAAACTAGCAAAATAATAATAATAACTTTATTTACAAAAAAAATGCATTTGCAAAAAATGAAGTGTATAAAAGGTGAAGTCCTTAAAAATACAATAGTGTCATGTGGGAACTTAAAATAGGAGGATCCTGTAACTTGAGAACCCACAAAATTACGTTGACAAAAAAGTATTATACAACGTGTCCCAAAATTCAACGATA